ATCCACTCCGATGATTGCGTAATCCTCACCGATGATGACGTAATCACTGACGCACCGTCGTCGACCATGAGTCTCAGGGCTGGATCGGGTCATTTCCCATCAATCAGTTTTCTTATTCGTGAAAGCCAACTGGCGCTTCACCACATTGTTGTATAGTTCTGCTGAGTGGTCGTAAGACTTATGGAGTAGCAAGCAATCAACTTTCCTTGTTGCTCTATAAGTCCACCCAATTGTTTTCCACTGGCATCTGCGTAGATGTCGAATGGTTTCTCGAAATCTGGAAAGGTTAAGAGCACGGCTTTCGCCAAAGCCCTCTTAATCTCTTTGAAGGCTTCTTCTTCAACTTCAACCGATGTCCATGGAAAGGTGGCCTTCGGAGATGTCAACTGCGTCAACGGCTTTAAGATAGCAGACTTGCCTGGCACCATTTCGCGATAGTAATTAATCATTCCCAGGAATCTCAGCAGTTCTCTCTTGTTCTTTGGCCTTTTGATCTGAAGAATCGCTCGGATCTTCTTCTCCTGAGGCTTAATGCCTTCTGCGCTCACAGTGAAGCCCAGATATTCCACACTTGAGCAGAAAATGTGGCATTTCTTCCCGTTGAGGGTTACATTATACTCCTCCAACCGTGTGAATACCACTCGTAGATGTTTCAGTTGGTTTTCTGCCGTTTTAGAGAAAATGAGGATGTCATCCAAATAGACTATCACAAAGTATAAATCGCCCAAAATTCTCGATATACACGCCTGGTATTCATCTGGAGCTGTTGATATTCCCATTGGTAGCCGTTTATACTGAAATTTACCAAACGGAGTGCAAAAAACAGTAAAGCGTCTACTTCCCTTGGCCAGTTGTCTCGCATAATATCCCATGTTAGCATCCAGAGATGAGAAGAACTTTGCACCTCCCAGACCTATCAATACTTCTCGAATAAACGGCACATAGTACGGGTTGCGCTTTAAAAACTTATTCAAAGCTCGAAGTCTGTCAGCAACCGCAGCCGTCCGCCAGGCGTCTTCAAGAAGAAAGCAGGCGATGCCCACTCACTGTCAAAGATCTGCTCCAGCACATCAAGTAAACGCTGGATCTCCTTTCGTGCAGCACGTTCTTCGCTTCTGGGTATGGAGTACGGTCTTGATTGTATCGGGGTATACTGCTCCGCCATCGGCAAGATGTAGTCTGGAAACTTCATACAACCCAAGTGTCCATTATAGAGCTTCCCAAAGCGGGTTAGCAGTTCGAGAATCTTCTCGTAGGTTTTCTGATCAATCTCCGCTGCACCCACCATGTTCTTCGGCTCAACCAATGTGTCGTTAATCTCGTTGATTTCACTTTGCACGTCTTGATGCGGTTGTTCCTCTTTGGTCTCTCGCTTACCCATGTTTACCTGGACTGTACTACCATTCCACTCCACAGTTCCGTCACGGAAGTTGACGATAATACCAAGTGCCGTTAAAAGGTCACGTCCAATTACCATTTCATCCTTGCCTTTCTTAAGGACAGAAAATGTATGGGTAATGCGAGTCCCATAGTTTAAATCCATAAAACGAAACATCACCGTGATTGCACCTGCCGCTTTCACGTAGCCATCCACCTGCTCGTACGTCAATGCAATAGGTAACAGCTTCAAATCCAGTTCATTGTTCGATTCTAGTGGAGCTGCATTGATATAGCTCGTACTACATCCAGTGTCCACTAATGCCATACATCATTTCGTCGTCTTGGACAGTCGAATACGGAGACGCATTGGTCGCTTCTGAGCCGGCTCCCGATTCTTCAACATGCTGCCAGCTACCTTGCCTTCATCACTGAAGGAATATTTAGATTCCAAGTCTTCAGCGATCGTTTGTCTTGCTTTCTCCGCCATTTTCCCGGACGTTGACTTGCCAAACCCTCCTTTTGAGGCGTTCTTCTTCTGTGTGAAACACTCACTATCACTGTGCGAGTTCGTCTTGTGTAAGTTACACCACTTACTGTCATTCCTCTTCTGAGACTTCGGATGCGACTGGTTTGGTCCCTTCTTGGACGACCTTACCCATTTGTTGTTCTTTTCGCCCTCGTTCTTGCCACCCGACTTCTTCCAATTCTTACTGCGTCGCTCTAGTCCTTGGCGTCTCTCCGACTGCTCCAGCCGCTCAAAATACTGGACGGTCTTCGGCATTGAGGTGATATGAACTCCACTACGCTCATACGCCGTCTTCCACTCATTCGGCATCGCCCTCTTGAACGTGAGGATCAACGTCTGCTCATCCAACTCCAGAGCGTTAGACGGGAGGTTGGAGAACATACGCGTTATATTACGCATTCTCTGATGACAGTCCGCCACCGTTTCGCTCCTCTTCTTCGCAAAGAGGTATAACTCCTCCTCCAATCGCTCACGGTACATGCTGGGCACAAACAGGTGTCCCCACGTCTTATAAGCCGACTCAAACTCGTCCTTGTCGTCAACATTGACGCTTTCCGACGCCACCTTCCAAGAGTTCAGCACTTTATCGTCCAGCACTAAGTTCAAATGCAGAGCCTTCTCCTCCGAAGTCGACTTCTTCAACTCACAAATGTGCTCAAATTGCTTAATCCAGTGCAACTAATCTTGCGCTGTTCCGCGACTAAAGTGAGGGATACTGATCTTGATGAACTCCCGCTCATGACCAGTCGTCTTTTTCTTCGTTGTGATCTGAAAGGTCACCATCTTCGACGTCTCCGTGCCGTCGTCGCTCATTTCTTTTACTTGATTCCTTGCCTCCGCAAGGTTTGAGATATCTCAAAGTGACAACCCTTGGCTCGCAGCGGGGCTCTC